TGGATGAGGCGACGGCTAATGTCGACCACAGAACCGATGCTCTCATTCAGACCACTATCAGAGAAAAGTTCACTAATTGTACGGTCATTACGATTGCCCACAGACTCCACACTATCATCGACTCCGATAAAGTCATGGTAAGTGTTTGGGGATGGGATGGGATGTCATGTCTAGTCATTTGTGTAATATTTGTCTCATCCGTGGATCAGGTGTTAGACGCGGGAGAAGTGATTGAATACGAAATGCCATACATTTTGTTGCAATCAAACGACGGTTTATTCACGAAATTAGTGAAACAAACGGGAAAACACATGACTATTAAATTGAAACAAATGGCGAAACAATACTATTCTTATAAAATGAATGTAAATCTCGAAGAAGAGGAACGGGAGGGGGAGGAAGAGGAGGACAACGAGATAACTGAACCTAAATTATAGATTTATTTTTGTAATTTATTAACATTTTAATAAAACCAATATCTGAGTCATGTTTTCGTATTTTACAAACAAGATCAATTCCCTAAATTAATAATAATTTATGTTTTCTTTTATAAATGTCGAATAAGTTAATTAAAGTTGTTAAACTTCATACGTTTGATATTTATGTTGACAATTAAATAAACTATTAAAAATTGAATGTAATCTTTTTATAATTTTAATTAAATTGTACCAGGTTTGCATTGAATCGATGTTCACAATACTTTTTTACTAAGTTTGAATCGAACTTATAAATAGATAACAAAAAATTATTAACGATTTTTGAAAATTGTCTAAATGCAAAATAGTATTATATTATTCTCTATTGCTCACTAAATATATTTATACATATATAGTATTTATATGATTCTTGAGATAGTTTATGATAAAAGTATAATTACATTATCAGTAGTATTATACGAAAGTTATTTCATATGGACCCATAATGGACTGGGAGTACTTTCACAATAACTTGGAAAGTTACGATTACAATTGGGAACAATAATAAAAGTTATAATAAAATACAGTATTTGCAAATTATTATAACATACTTTTTAAATTTTTATCAAGTTATTTAAATTAATTATAATTTCTGAATTTTATTAACAGCAGATTAATTTCAAATTTAATTTTTAATTTCAATAACTTATTAATAACAATTATAAAGTTACGCCATATTATTATTATATCTACAGTAAATATAAGCTAATTTCAATTGATTGATAAAATTTTTACGATTGCAGAATATTTTTAAAAATTCTAACAATTGTTGTACTAATGTACTAGAGGGCAATTATTTATCTCTCATATTTAGTGCTTTATAATGTACAAAAATATTTTCTAAAATTGGATAATATTAATTAATGAATTATATTGTATGTAAATTTAGACATAAACTATAATTAGCAATTAAAAATATAAAAATCACAACAAAATATTCTAAATTCTTTGAACTAAAAATATCAATCATATGGCTAATCGAGTTATATGATTTTGTTTTATAAAAATTACTTACTCATTAAACATAGGAATATGTGTATTAAATATATTTAATATTTAATTATAAAATAAAGACATAATGATGAAAGAGACATATAATTTATGAAACAAACAATTGCTTCAACATTCAAACCATAATAAACTTTTATAGCATTCAGGAGACAGAATCATGATTTTATTGGCACTTCTCATATACACTGTATTCTGTAACTAAGATAGGTATTTATTTATTACAGAGCACTTCATTATTAAATGAGAAGGGTAATAAAATAGACATTTAACATAATATTTGAATGGTACATATCAAAGGTTTTTTGAAAAGGAGATCCCGAGATTCCCTCATGTGTTGCCATTTATCAGATCTACAGACTATTACTTATACATGTAATAAAAATTATTATTTATATAAAAATAGCAGAAATGGTGTTCACACATTAGAATAGTTTTATTTGTAAAATATTTTCATTAATAATAGCCATTATAATGGAAACAATTGAATTAGTGACCCGTCCCTCCCCATGGGATAGGATCTCATTTTTATCCAAACTTACATTCGGGTAAATAAATGCAAATATTGTGTAAACTCGTAATTATTATTAACTAATATTTATGACTCCAAACAACTGTCAGTTGGGTTTGGGGTGTATTCCTAGACGCCCACAAAAAGGACCTGGACTTCTGTGACCTGTACCGGTGCTCAAAAGATGATGAAACCGATAAATTGCGAAATAAACTTGAAATGTATTCACGAATATTATATTCATTAAACATTTTAATTAAAATATTGTCATTTTCTAATTTAGTCAATGGAATCGTGAATTACAAAAGAAAAGACCAAGTTTCTTTTGGGCACTTTTTAGGACATATGCCCTTTCGTTTGTCCCATTGATTATAATCTATGTTTTTCAGGTTTGAATATTTATTTATAGAGTATAGCTGTAATTAATAATTAATATAAATTTATTGCACTGGATCGTTTTACTTTGTTGGGTAACAATACAAAACAAGATAACTGCAAAAACTTCTGTATTGGTTTATATAAAATCGATTTATTAGTTAACTGGTTTTTATATAGTCTTACTCTGAAATAGAAACGATTTATTGGTATAAATTTGATTAAATATTCCAAGTTATGAAGTATAAATATTAAAAATATTAATATTAAATATTTTATAATTTCATTTTCAAATGAATTCAATGGTGACATACAGGCTGTGGTGATAAGAGTGGGTCAGTCCGTACTTCTGGGATATGTTGTGCGCTATTTCCAGGACGAGGGCTCCATTAGTCCCACAAATTCGGCCCTTTCGGCGATGGGTATAGTCCTGTGTTCCGTATGTATCGTGACATCCATTCACATCGACATCGTCTACATCATGAGAATGGGTCTCAGAATGAGGGCCTCCTGTTGTGCTCTCATGTATAGGAAGGTCAGTGAATATACAGAATATTCTTGATTGTGTGCTGTATATCCCTGTTTATTTAAAACTAAATATATATTTACCGTATGATTAGGCAATGAGATTAAGTCATTCATCACTGGGACAGACACCTGTGGGTCAGATCATTAATATGATGTCCAACGATGCCAACCGTTTTGATGAGGTATTCATTACTAGCAATTTGATTAGCGTTTAATGAAAATGATATTCAATATTAATATAACAACTATTCACATATAGTTTGCATTTTTCTTTCACTCATTATTTGTGGCACCCCTTCAATCTGCACTCGTTATATACCTGCTTTGGGAGCACATGGAGTGGGCCTGTCTGGCCGGGATGGCTGTCCTATTACTGTTCATACCATTCCAGGGACTAATGG